GGTTGGGGTAAGGGGAGAGGGGGGGATCAGGAGCACCGAGATCGGTCCAAGATAGAGATGAACCTCCGGTATAATTTAAAGTGGGAGCCGTCATTGAGGAGATGTGTCAGCTGTACCTCGCACTTTGTCAGGAGCCAGAATTTCATTCTGAGTGTGGCTGTGGAGGGCCGCTACCATCCTAATCTGAGCTTCCCCTGAGTTGCCGTCTTGAGCAGATGGTCTCAGAGAAAATCAAAATGATTTATTTCCACGTGAGATAGAAACATGTTAACCACGTTTAGAAAAAACATTTCTATTTGAAATTAAAACATGAAAGAACATCCTCAAATATTGCATGCAGGTAGCTCGAGCACCAAACTCAGGCTTTCACGAATTCCTATTTTTGACAAGGAAAATGTTTCATAATACTGTAGATGCCGTCTTCCTGTAGTTCAGTGGTTGTAGCGCTGGCTCTATAATCAGGAGGTCCCGAGTTTGATTCCCGATTAAGCGACCCGAGTTTGTTGGTCCCTAACAATTGTTGCCCGGGGCTGATTGGTAAGCGGGGATGGCGGGAGGTGAGAGGTTATGACTGAAAAGCGCACACTGAAAAAAAAAGCATCACAATTTCAGCTATACTCCTGGCTGAGTTTGGCGCCAGATATAAGAGTAGTTGCACTATCCAGACGTATGGTTAGTCCAACCACACTTTCGGCAGATTCAACCGTGTGCCTGTGCCTCTGACTGGTGCAACAACTCTCATATCAAGCGCCAAAATCAGCCAGGAGTAAAGTTCGGAATGTGATACTTTTTTCTATGCAGGATCACCTCCTTGGAGGTATTTGAAGTGTATTAGAATAAAGTGCGCGTATTGATGCTAAAAGGAACTAGAGACGTTGGGAAATATGGGGAGTGCTCGGAAAAGCTGCATAAGGAACAATGTAGAAGTGGGGGAAATTCCTTCAGACAAAATGGAAAAGTGGGGTCTTACATAAAATCAAGAGGAGCTAAACGCCAAAATATGCTAAATCATGAGCCTTGCGCTTGTCAAAAGAGCGTTGTGGATAGGGCTCAAGAGTCAGAGAAGGACCAGTCGATCCGTCGTTGCCGCTGACGTCACTGGTGCTTTTTACCTCCCATTCGTTCTTACGGTCATTAACTAACAAGCACACCCCTTCCTTCCCACCCTATTCTAGTTTCTTTTAGCATAAAAGCAGAGACAAGAGCCCTTCCACTCGTATCTTGGCAATGGTGGAAGCTTTTACTTTCGGGACCTCAACATTAAAGTGTTGACATGGTCGATTTTTAACAACGTATTGGCAGTTTCGTTTTGCAAACAAGCCGAGGTTTGAGAAACTTGTTTGGCTCATGACGTCACCCGAAGCTCATCATCCACCATGTAGGTAGGTCAACAGACGAAATAAGAAGTGTGAGTGATGACTGTTGCTCCCTCCATAAGAATTGTTGAATCCCCGAAAGTAAAAGCTTCCACCAGTCGCCAAGAGGTCATTGGAGGGTATCTTGTCTTTGCTTTTAGCATAAAAGTGTCCAATACTTTACTCAGTGGTCCATTGGGGTAATGTATGCCCTGAAGAGAAACAAAACGAGATGAACTCATCTTCACACACTCGACAACGTCGGTGGGAGCCGGAGGTCCTGTTGGCCGTGGGCTCTGTGTATGCGGCCAGCGGTCTCGGTCTCCAGCCACGGAGGGCCCTCTGAAACCGGGGGANGGGGGGGGGGGGGGGGGGGGGGGGTGAGCTGCTCTCGGCTCTGTCTGGAGTCAGCGTCCGCTGCGCGTTGCACTCGGATGCTGGGTGCGCGGCCTGGGCCCAAGTCGGGGTCCGGGGTCCTCCTGCTCCTGCTACTCACATTCCGATGCATTCAACTTTCCTCCTCGAGCTGTCTGCGTCTCCGGGGCCCGAGATCCGCCACGCACCGCACCGCCCCAATTTAGCCTTCGTCCAGCTCCAGGAGTTTTCCTCTCCCCTACGAGCTTTGCCGCTGCTCGAAGTCCGTGCCCCTGCCTCGGATTGAGACTTCATCAACTCGGGGACAAGGGATGAGTTAAGTCGTCTCAATCAATACAGAGCCCAAGCGCATTGTAATGTCTCTGTTGTAAACTTTTGTGCGAGCGAGATAAGGGTTTGTTTCTGATGGAAGAAGACTCAAAACTTTATCACACACATATCATATTTGGTAGTGGTTCGATGTATCGTTTGGTTCAAAACAATAGAACATAACCTCAAACGATGATTTCAAAATTCCTAAAAATTTCACTTTTCATTGCCATTTGATACTCGAAAGAATAAAAATTCGATCACGAATGAGTCGTTACATTGGATTTTTAAATTAACTTTTGAGGCTGTTTACATATTGAACCAATCTATATACAATCTCGCCTGTTCGTTGTATCAAATAAGATCTATTTTAATTCAGCAAAATCTATGTGAGGAATAGACTCATTTTGTAGCTGCTAGCTTCAAAATGTATACTCTGAGACAAGAGACCCTCTATTTCTATCTTGGCAATGGTGGAAGCTTTTACATTCGGGACTCCAACATTCAACCTCGAGTTCGGGACTTAGGGTGATGACTGTTGCTCCCACATAATTGTCCATAAGGATTTGTTGAATCCCCGAAAGTAAAAGCTTCCACCTGTCGCCAAGAGGCCAGTGGAGGGTCTCCTGTCTCTGCATTTTTCAGCTTCATGGCGTCCACTAGATCCTCCGGGGATCTTGTGCATCGGGGTATTGTGTTGCGTCTAAAAGTATTGTAAAATACTGATAACACGAGTGATTTGCCTTAAGGGTGACGGTCTGGGGAGGGGAACTTCCTTCACGACACCTCGGTTCGATAACCCGAGGAATTTCTCGTATGGATCGAGCACGCTCTCAAGGAAGTGGCGACGACGCATAGTGTTCCCCTTGGCACGGTGGCGCACCTGGCGGATGGTCCAGAAATCTCCAAGATTTTCCTATTAACCAGTGTAAAAAAAAGAGATCTTGCATGCGATTTGACTACCTAGCACGGCGCGGCGGCGTGTCTCGCACGGCGGCGATTAATTAAACATGCTCGATAGACGAGGGACGAGGCCAGAGTTGCCAAATTGTGAGCGTAAATCGACTCTTTTACATTATTACTGAAGAGAAATGATTTATGGGTCGGCAGCAATGAACGTGGTGGGGTGGAAACAATGTAAAAGAAAAAGATAGAACCGACGGCTTTGACCATGGCCTCAGCCCGGTTGACAGTGGCCCATTATCCGGCTCGGCCAGCAGCTTCCTTTGAGCCTGAGCGGCCCACGGGGGCCACGGGTCTCAAGAATCTCGAAAATCCTTAATGAAAAGTTCTGAATGGGGCACCTCGTTGCCAGTTCTGAGGGTCATCGCCCACGCACGGTGTCGAGGTGTATGAAAAGCAAGTGCAGATGAATATGGTCTTCTTTCTTTCCGTATGGGCTCTTGAAGCGATGATAAGCAAAAATATTTGCAGATATTCAAACACATGTACACATTTCAGTTCAAATTAGCAATGAAATGATACTTATAGGTCAGGTCGTCTTTAAAAGTGACATTACACAAAAAGAAGAGTAGCATGCGTAAACATTGGTATAATATTTGAAATGCTTTGAGGATTTCGTCTACATTTTATGATTTAATGTTTTGATTTTCGCTCAGGCTTTTGTAGAAATGAAATCTTGGAGCCTTCCATTACTCGTGTTTTTCATCATACGTTTCGTTTGACACCTGTGAAAATATAAAAGGACTAATTTTTATGTCTAATAGACAGGCAAAGACATGAAGACTTTAACGCAAGGTTAGAAAAGTGGTCTAACAATCTGACGTCATTTAACGGAGGGATCAGTCAATGTAAGGGGAGAGTTTTCTCAAAATCTGCTTCTTCTGTCCTTCGCAACTATTAGTCTGGGCAAAACTGCAAAGAAAAGGGGGGAGGGGACATTTTGTCGGTCAAAATTTCACCTTTAAAATGAGCTAGGTTGTTATTTTTTTGAAAAACCTCATTTGACGGGTGACCGGGGTGAACCACAAGTGCTCGCCACTAGTTCGATATTTCATTACTGAGTATACACGCAAAGAATACCTGTTTGCTGTAGCAAAGCCGTGGTATTATCAGATCACAAAATTATGATACCCAAATTTCGGGATATTGCGCCAAAAGGTTTCTGGGTAAAATTGGTTGACTATTTCAAGAAGTGAGACGATAAACACAAATAGTGCATTCGGTCCCTAGATACTCTTTAAAGAGACGTTGATTTGTTTTTCATTTAAGCACATTTTATGGCAAAAAATTAAAAATAAAAACACACTTACACACACCCTCCCTCACATTCCCCGGATCTAACGCGACTTGATTTTTCAGCATGATTGAAATGAACCGCATCCTAGGGCAGACTCATTTAAAAACAATTTGCCATCCTTTTTCGATGTCATGTCAACAATCAGCATGATGACACAGCATTTAAGTAATACATACTGTATAAAAGTAAGGGATTTTATCCACAAATGTGAAAGATCCTAAGTTATACTTTGAAACCATTACATACAATGTTTGGGAATGAAATCAGTGTGAAAATGATAACATATTCGGGGTGAGCGGTTTTGAGACAACAACAATGGAATAGAGTAACACAGGTTTGGTGGGGACAGAGGTGGCAGATTTTGAGAAAACTCCCCTCTTACAAGACTGATCCTTCCTCTTAGTGACGTCAGATTTCTTTTAAACTACTTTTCTAACCTTGCGTTAAAGTCTCCCTTGACATTTCTTCGCCTATTGGACATAGGAATTATCACGCTCTTACTTCCATGGGTGTAAATCGAAACGTTTGATGAAAAATACTTGATATATGACTGGATAGCGGGTCAAGCTCCTAAGTTAAAACAATTAAGGTTAAAATGACCTTGAGACCCGAATCCAAGTGCAGCGCGCTCCTTCGTGCGGCATCGGCGTGCATCTCGCCGCATGCCAGGACTGGGGCATGGCGGCACGCAACAAATTTACCCATTACCGCGCATGGAACAAAACCCGAGTAACCATAGTGCTCAGCCGAGCTTACTTGCTTAGTCATTAGCTCCGTTGATTCTTCTACCATCCAAGACACCGCGGACGGCCGACGCTGCACCTCACCATTCAACGTGAAACGCGGAGTCGGAACCTGTAAAGGCGTCCCACTGGCGCACGCATCCATCCGCTCGCTCCCGCTGGTGGGATAAAACCCATAAGAATTAACCTCATCTATTATCCTCCTTAACTGCGACTTGTGACCTTGCGGATTATGGCTAGGCCTATCACTCATCGTGAAAACACGGATTTTTCAAAGATGAGCCATGTCGCGGTGAGGAGTCAATAAGAGTTCCTAGAAAGTCTCGTAGCCCTGTCTCATGTGCTTTGATCCTTTAAAACAACGTTAGGGCACTTTAATTTCCAGGAAGTGTAAAAGACTTTGAAGACTTTGACTTGAGAAGGCATGGCGGCAGAGCGTTAACTAAGAGATGTTGCGTTGTCAGTTGCCCGATAACCACATGTGGCGTTTAGGTGTCGCAGAACGCCAAAGTGCGCTGTTGGAGCGACTTTTATGTGGACGTATTTCTATCAAACGGAACTATGTGCATTAAGACATGAGCCCTGAGACCCATAAGAGTATATGCATAACAGGGCTCACGTCATAATGCACATAAATCCGTTTGATAGAAATACGCCCCTGTATGTGTGTAAAAGACTTCCATTGGAAAATTTTCATTGAAATTAAAAAGGTAGAGAAAATCAATTATTTGACAAGTTTTGATTTATCATCAAACACTATAGTTGCTCTCATGAACATCACTTTGATTCTCTGATGAATTGATGAAAGCGGTCCTACTTGTTTTAACGAGATCGCACAAAATGCCCAAAATTTATCAGGGGTAAATTTTATCCCAAATTAGGCCGCAACTGCATGCATGGATTTTGGTTACTACTTGTAATTTTGACAACGCCGAACGCTTTATAAAGCGTATTCCATAAAATACTTTCGAGACACATGAATGGTAGGATTTTTAATTTGAAAAACATGTATTGACACGGACGCTACCAACATTTCTTGCTATTGAAAAAGCTTTCAGATTTTACCGTGCATTCAAACATTCTCTGGAACAAGGAAATACGTAGTGTTAAAAAAATGAATGAAATAAAATAATCAAACCGGTAAAGCTCGACCAGATCACGTAAACTCACTTCAGCTTACTGTATCGCACTGTTGCCAAATAATATGAGTTTTAGTCAAATGAAATGTTATCTCACTATTTGTAAGGGATTATTTTGTGCACATCGAGAGACTCATATCATATGAATTAAATTGTATCTTTTGTATGGACAGAAAGACACTCGATATGATATTTGTAAATCAAATCCTATGTGGTCTCCGAACACCTTAAAAATTGTAAGTACTTATGGCGCAAAAAGACCGAGAACCTCGAACTTTTTATTCAAATTTTTCGTATTGTTGTAACTTGCAAAAATCCCAGCCTTTAAACTGTCAGTTGAAGCACTAAAATTAGGCACACCTACTTGTCAAGAAACAATATGTTCGCAAAATTCTCTTTTTTCCAGAGAACTAGTTGTATTGCATTTGTTTGCTCATTGCAGATTTTTATGCAACTGTTGATAAATACAAGTATTGTGAAATTTGCTTCTGAGTCTAATATTGGTCTCAGTTTATCCTTTCAAACGACTGATTTTCTTCTTCTTTCTTTTCTCAAATAAATATTTGTATATATCACTGGATAAGAATACTGTGCAAGCAAAACATCAAATGGGAATATATTAGAGAATGTTAGAAAATGACGCTTTAAATCATTAAAACTAAAGATTTTGCAAATTTATAATTCGTTGGATGTCGCAACTCAGCAAACAGTATGGCCATTACTTATCCACCTTTTAAAGTGTACTTGGCGGGCTCATTCGAGCCTCTCTCGCTGGTGTTTTGGCGAGCTATTAAGCAGAAAGAGATGGAGGGTGGACGGGCACTAAGTTGTTTTTCAACCATTTCTACGTTCTCATTGACGCTTCAATCGAAAATTACGTCGATACATTTGCCAGTTTCCGGTGGAGTACAAACAGTAAAAAAAAAAACGGAGAAAAAACAAAGAACACTTAGCGAACCCAGACAAGTTGTTTGGCAGTATCTTTTCACTACGCGCGCGTGTTTCTCCTCATTATCTCCATTCATTAAATCTTCTCCGAATTCTAGTGAGGATGGAGCAGTGGAATTGGCATGAATGAAATTACGAATCCTAAACTTCTTGAGCGCAAATTTTTACAGGTTTTTTCACTCAGAAAGCGGAAAATATGTTTCAAAACTATTTAAAGAACATCATATGTGCAGCTTTATATCCTGCGACTAGTTCTTGCCGACAAAATTTGAGAACGGAGCCGGAGATGATAATAATTCCGGCTTGCTAAGGAAAAACGCCGTATGAACATTCGAGAGTTGCCAAATTTTGCCAAAACGAGCGATTTTGAGGAAAGTTAAGCATATTTTTTCTTGAAATTTTCAGATATCTAACATTAAATTGTAAATAAAACTGTCTTAAAATTTGAAAAAAATATTCATAATTTTTCCAGTTTTAACGTCCTTTTTTAATAGAAAGATTATGGCAACGTCTGATGGCTCACCTGTCGTTTTTTCCTAGATCATTAGAACAATCACCAAGTTATATTTTAATTTTTGATAGGTTTACTTTTTTTATAGGTTTTATAGGTTAGGGACTTACACGGTGTTAATCCTATACCAAATTATAAAATCTCAAACCCGAGAGGAAACTTTTGCAGGAAGTTCAAGTTTCATATAAGAAAGTTTAGAAGAAATGAATGATTAATGCAATAATTTAGGAGTGTATATATTTACACAGTGTATGTATTGTTTTTTAATGTTTATTTTTTAGTAGTCATATTTTACGATGTCTTTCTCCCTTCATCCTACTGATGCGTGGAAACCGATGCATACACCGAAAGTTTGAAGGAATAGTAGCCACGTTTCGACAAGTTTTAGTATTTCAGATATCATCTTATTAGCACCAATTTGGCTTTGACGAAAGTTTGAAATTTGCTCAGAAAGGGACTCAAAATCTTGCTTCGCCTTCATTTCTTTACCCTCTTTTTGATACAAACTGCGAGAATATGGAGTCACACTTTTGCATTTTTTATAAACTTTAGGATATTTGAAAATGTAATGAGCAAATTCACCTTTTGCACAGAAATTGTCGTCATTCGTCACACTCTTTACGTAAATCAAGATATTGCATATATCCTCCCTAACAATGGAACTTCAGTATTTTGTGTTTCAAGTGAATTTATGAGCAGTAACGCATAAATGATTTCATTATAGAAGGAAATAACTCTTTCTGTACTATGAGAATTTTTCTGGATTTTTACCATCATCGTGGGGCATGTTCTTTTGTCAGATTAATCTGAAAATGCTAAGAAGGGTACGATCATCTCGCTCAGCTAAAGATGAGCAGTTGAGAAAGAAAAAACGAAGATTGTAAATCGATTTATTGTTAACAAGTGTTCATAGTGTGAGAACGAATTATCGGGGGCGTGATAATGAAAGAACTCGACAGTAACTGATTTTTTTCCAAGTTCTCCTACACCAAAAAACTATTAACGCATCCCCGTGAAGAATCAGTTTGTTTTGTAGCCGGGGATTTCTTCGTAGTGGCTGCGATGCACGCTCCATCGAGGGCGATTCATAAAAAACTTAGCTTTTTTCTTACGGTATATGACTCTCTTATGACGGAGATAGAATGTCGAAATCCAGAGAGTGGGTGAGTCTGTTTAATTTCGCATCAATTGAAATGATTGTTTTGCATCAGAAAAGAAAAATCCAGGGTGAAATTCAAAGTTTTCCCGAAGCAAACCACGTTTATTAACTAGCTCTAGGTAGAAATTCGAGATTTGAAAAAGCTACGAAAATTTGATAACTAATCCAGATAGGCGAAATAAATGTTTGTAAGTTATCATTATCTTCTGCATTAATTATTATTTTCAGCCAACAATGCAGTCCAATAAATTGTAAACCAGAAATTCCCCTCTCCTCCCCTACGGTTTTCTCTCCAAGACTTTTCCCTAGAGAATTTCAATTTAGGCGTTGAGTGCGGGAGGACAATGTTTTTACAGAATTCTTTTGCAAATACTATCAAGAACTGAACCTGAAAATTTGAGGTGCATGGGTAAAACAGTTTTTATTTTATAAAGTGTTGAGTTTCAAAAAACGCGGGAAAATCTTGATGAATTTACGGCGCTCTTGCTTAGGACGGCAGAATAGGTAATGCTCAGTTTCTAAAAAAAAAGTAATAACTGATACAATTATCATGCAGAGTAGGTTGTAGTTTCGTGGTTTCCAGTTCAATTCTTCGTCACGCACACGCAAGGAATTTTTCAAAACATTTTAATCATAATTCCAAAGTTTCTCTCGAATATTGTAGAGCTTTTTTCGCCTCGAGCTCAGTTCACGGCAGAAGCAGTCAGCCTGTCAGTAAGAGAAAAGAGTGAATGATTGTTTCTGACGTCAATCATATCTGGATCCAATTTTCAAACGTGCGTTTACAATATGGGGATTAGCCGTTCTGTTCACGTGCGTGGTCACAATGGGACGTATTCATGCTAAAAAGACCTATGAGCATAGGGTTTGCGTGTAACATAGTTCCTTTTAGCAGAAATACGTCCAATGCTGAGACGGGAGCTGGTTAACTATTCGTGCCTCCTCAGCTTTGAAACAAAACGGTTTTCTCTAATTTATGTACAAAGTTCACCCTTCCTTGGTGACTCATGCCCAGTGTTTTCGTTTCGCTCGGGGATTTTCGAATTTAAACGTGACAATGAAACGGGTACGGAAAAGCCTTGACAGAAGTAGCAAAGCTCCGAACTGAGATGTCTCATTGACTGCAAAAACTCGCTTTTTGCATAGTTTGTTTGGAAAGAATTTAAACATTTTAGTAACGTTTGACGTCTGTGCTTATGCATTCATGTTCATCTCGTGGTACCAACTGCAGATTCTTCGAACACTGCTCGTGCACTGGGAACAATTCAGCTTTGAGCTGCAACCTGACTGGAATACTTTGATATTTGCAAATAATACTGCCAGGTTTTGGAGAAATTCCACGTAGAATGTCTGTATAAAAAGTTGAAAAATGAATGTGAGTATATAGGTATATAAATCTGAGGAACGGGATTTTGAGTAAAAATATCATTCACGTCACGACACTTTTTTATTACACAAAAAGATTTTTAATTCTAATTTCCAACATTGGATTCACA